GGTGTTTTAGAGGGGAACCAGATCGGGACCTATATAGTTTCAGAACCAATTTGTTCCTGTCCAGTGCCATATTCAGATTGACGACCTGGATCGAAAATCGCCGGTTTCTTATTACTAGTGCCCCTTTCAATAAAGGGTATGGTTTGTATAGATCCAAGGCTCTAAACAATCAAAATAAAGCGCACCTTTAAATGATATCATGAAATATAGTTTCAATATTGAAAATCTTTGTGATTGCCTTAAAATATATTGTCATCTTTATCTATTAAATTTAAATCTTCAAAAATGGTATAGATCGAGTAGATATATGAAAACATGAAAATTTTGAAAATTTACTGTCCAAAACTACATTAAAAAATACATTATTTTCAAAACTTGAAATCCATTTTTTTCTCATGTTCATGCACCTTGATGTCAAGATGATCAATTTGAGGATATTTAGGTATTAAAACAATAGCTTCTGGTGAATAATTTGATTGTTTCCTCAGCTTTATATAAAGTTTTGGCTTCTGGTGAATAATTTGATTGTTTCCTCAGCTTTATATAAAGTTGTCTTTCTTAAATGCTGGAATACATCCACGAGGCAAAAGTACATTAACCCCTTTAAAATTTTCCTCAATTGCATTAGTTAACCAAAATTATGTATAGAGGTCAATGGACCCCAGATGAGACAGAAAGAGAGAGAGAGATCACCTCCCCTTAAGTGTTGCTCCTCTCTCTCACACACACACACTTTCCGCCTCTCTAGAGACGGTGCATCGGAGAGGCGGTTGATCTTACCGCCGAACAAAGATGGTGCAAGATGCGGTTTATCTTTTTGTATAAATAGGCGTGAGCCCGTCGGAAAAAGCAGAGAGAGGGGTTGGGTTGAGAGAAAGAGAGAATGGGTCTTTTGAGGTAGAAAAAATCAGGGTGAAATAGGGTATGATGCCAATCCATTATGAAATATTTTAACAGTTTATGTTCACACTGTGGTCCATCACCTCATTTTAGCATTTAACCACTTTTGTCCATGAAAAGCAAGAATTTTATATATTCAATATTTTTCTGAGTTCCAAAAAATTCTACAAGTAAGAAGTAAAAGAGGGTACACATTGAATGTGTCATGCGTTATGAGAAGGAGTGAAAGACCCCTACGTTATGAAAAGCATGAGATAAAATAAAAGCTGAGTAGATGTTGAGGTCTGTACAAATAAAGAGTTGCTTTGAAATGCAAATATAAAGAAGCTTAAGAGTGAGTATTAGTAGTACCTTGAACTCAATAATAGTCTTCATTTTTGTGGCATGACAGTTAGCTCCTTGGCCTCGAGTTCTTCTATGCCAAATGATTGGGGTTCGAATCCTTAGACCCGGTCAATCCAATTTTTTGTTTCTATTTTCTTTACAAAAGCATAGTCTATTAATATATACATTCCCTTACTTTCTATTGTTTTTTACAAAAGCATAGTCTATAAACATATACATACTCTTATTTTTAAATGTCCTCTTGCAAGGGAAGGTTTGTTCGAGTTCTCTTCTTTGTCAACGTTTTTCTTAACTCCCGTTTACTTAAGAAAAAAAGAAAAAAACTCATTTTACAAGAGGTGGTATGTTCGAGTTCTCTTCTTGATCAACTTTTTTTGAACTCCCGTTTTACTTAAGGAAAAAAAAAAATAGAAGAAAAAAAATTTCAACGAAAGGATTCGAACCCTTACTGCCTTGCAATTGAAAATGCCCATAAACCGTGTTGCTCGACCGATTCCGAGTTAAGATATCATGTATCGTGTAACTTGAGGTAAACTCACCTCACCCATAAGGCAAGGCCGAGTTACTCAGCCGAGTCCGAGTCGTGCCGGCCGAGTCTTAAAACAATGTTTAAAATTTTGACTAAACATTCTACTTTAAGGGAAAAAGGAGGGTCTGTCGTGAAAATTTTTTACTATTCTTTATTAATTTTAGAAAATCATGATAGAGGAAAGCATGAAATAATAATTTCTCTCCAGGTTTGAAAGGAACAAAACAGTGGTTCATACCAACACTAGTGTTTCACCATTAAACAATATCAGTATGTAAAGTGATATCAATGTTTGAGAAATAGCTAATCTAGATCAGAAGTAACCAATCTAGATTGGGTATTATTGGTCACCAGTCTAGTTCTAACACTAAATCAATGAGCTGGCATCAATTGAGTATAATTTGGAACCTGAAGCCGTTATTTTTGCCTACTATGCACATAAATATTTAAATCAATCATTTTTTGGTTTGAAATAGTATGTGTTAGAGGAAAAATATCTTGGCCAAATATTGATATAATCGTAAATCTTTTAATGAGAGCCATTTTTAGGGAAAATATAATTTTAGAAGTCAATGACCCGCAAAATATTATTAAACGCATCAAATCATCCCAATTAACAGATCTACATTTTAATTTCATTTCAAAGAGATATTTTCTCAAAAAAATATCTTAAGAAATACTAAAATTGCCCTGTTTAGGGTTTCCAACCTTAAACAAGTAGGAGTATTTTAGTAATTTGATCAACCTTGAACAAATAGAAGTGATCTCATTATTTGGTTTGGATCTCTTAAGTGTAATTATTAAAATACTCCTCTTTGTACAAGGTATGAGGAGAATTTAGCTATTTTTTATAATATCATTTGAAGAGGTACCTTGTAAAAATTAAAAATTAAAAATAAATGCCTTTGGGATGTGTTGGCCTCCTTAATTAATTTTGTTTGTAAGGGATCATGACGCCTTAAATAATAGTCTCCTTTTTTGTATTCAATGATTTTCTCTTTTATTGGAATACATAGACCATCTTAGAACCATGTTCAAATGAATCGGTTAATTTTCACACTTAAACATTTTCCTATTGATGTCTTAGGTAAGAAAATCAACTCGGCCAAGGTACTTGGCCCTCTGCCAGGCCGAGTCTTGAGGACCATACTTATCGGGAGCAGGAGCGGGAGCGGGAGCGGCTCGGTTCCAGGAGAGGGAGCGTCGAAACGATGTCTGCCCAAAGCTCCGGAGCTCGAGGAGCGAGTTCCGATAAGGGTAAAAGTAGCGGATCGAGATCCCGTATGAGCAGGGAGCACGTTCCCAACACATCGAGATCGAGATCCCTATTTAACAGAAACTCTTTCCGTATCAAATGGGACCGCGTTCCCATATTCATTAGGATCGTGCTCCCATCGACAACATGATCGCGCCCCCATATAAGAATGACCGTGTTCCTATCTGGAAAGGATCGAGCTCCATTCAAGGAAGGATCGTTTTTTGTGTATGATTAGTCCTCTCTTCCATTGTAGAACTCCACTTTTATGAAAATTTGTCTTAAATATAATTATTTTATTTTAAAAATTAATTTTATTTAAAAAGTTTCTTTTAGGATGTTTCAGGAAAATAGGGATGGAGTTCCGAAAATGTAGGGATCGCGCTTCTAACATTCTGGGAGCAGGGATCTAATTTATTCAGGAACAAGATCCTAAAATTTAAAGAGCACGTTCTGTGCAGTATCGGGAGCGAGCTGCGTTGTGAACGGGATCGAGAATCCTAAAAATAGGAACAAGCTCCCAAAAGTAAGGAAAGAGTTTCGATTGAGATCCCGGCTATGGAGCACCAGAACTGGGTTCCGGAGCAGGAGTGCCACCCTAGTTGGGCGCTCCATAACTATGCTGAGGACTCAAGATAGTCATGCACAGGGTGAAGAAGCCTTCAATAAATTGAAAACAAAGAAAGAGAAAAATTCAAAAATAAGAAAATATATTAAAATCAAAATAAAACAAGAAACAACCTTAAGAAGGACAAATAAACTTAAAAAAAGTATTAGGAAAAATGCATCTAGAAAAAGCAGATTTATACTGGGGGCATTTAACAAAAATTTAAAAAAATGATAAAATATAAAAATAATGATTTATAGTAAAAAATACTCACTATTGTGTTTTTATGGTTTATGCTTTTTGGCATCTATTTGGCATTGGGTGTATTAAAATCTAGAATATTAGCTAAAGACATAGAAATAACATATAAAAAATGATAGATCAATCCCATATTCTTTATGATTTTTAACAAGTTTTTTAAATTTTTTAGTATCCTCTAATTGTACATACAGCTCTAGAAAGCTCAACCAGTCAAGAGAGAGAGAGTGTGTATGGGTGTATGTGTGCACGCATACGCTCTTAGCTTAATATAAATGTTTAGGTGATTTGGTAATAAGATTTGCTTTGTACAACAATATTTCTTAATCTTGTACCATAGTATTTCTTGATGGGTTCATGGGTATATCTTTTGGTTTTTGAGATATATGTAACATCTCTCGGAAGTTTTCTATTTAGTATGGATTCCTAATCTTATATATATAAGATGAAAGAAGAAAGAATATGTGTGCCTACTTGGGTCACCATATGGAAAAGGTGGTTTCCTATAGAAAAAGACAGGTAGGGGCCTCAAATACATGAGAGGCAAGGTCTCCCCTTTGATAGAAGAGAGCTTCTATGAAGAGAAATATTGCAATAGGTGTCACCTATAGATTAAGAGGCTGGCTTGTTGTTGAAAAGTGGTTCCCATTGAGATTTTAGGTGGTTTCCGCTTTTTGTTCGAGAAAGTTCAAGTTCTATTCCTGGACAATAATCTAGCTAAGGAATAAAGATAAGAGATCGACAGTAGTGCCGATCGAGAGAGCGGATCTAAAAGGATTTGCTTAGCTGGATTTTGTCGAGGGTTATAGTAGTAACTCTATGTCCCAAAATCTATGATGCAACTTTTATTGGTATAGTGGATGTTAGTTTGTTGTGCCCAGGGATATAGTCGCATCTGTGACAAACCACATAAATTTGGATATTCTCTTTTTTTGTTATTTCGATCCTGCTTTATTTTTTTTCCTTGTTGCCAAAACTATTTTTCTCATATTTTATTTGCCAAAAATAACCGTCGGGTTTAGAGCTTCCACGCACAACATAAATAACGTGGACAACAAAGAAACATTCTCATAAAAAAAACAGGTTCTAATAATCAACCACTGGCATCACACATTTAATATAACATGTAAAATCCACACATACAACCCAAACCTTATATGGAATCAAGTGTTTTCTAGAGAAATTCTAACTAGAAAAAACCAAGAACCAAAAAAAAAAACCCTTTCTATCCACTCAACAAAGTTCCTCATCAAGCCACTAACTTGCTAAAACCTTATCCTCTTACCCAATTCTTCAAACAAAATAAGCACACAATACATAATTGTGGATATTAAGGAATCAATGTACACAAAAATTTGGGAAGTCATTGAAATGAAGAAGGATATCTTGCCAACCACATGTGAAGAAGTGAATATCCCATCAGTTTGGAGAATATAGGCATAAGAAAAGATGGCAACACCACCTATTGTTGATAAAAAGAGGCAGGTGGCAGCAACAATGTATTTCATAGGCAGCATAAAATAGAAGTCTTCTTCCTCATATCTTGTGGTCAAGATTGAGGTGAAAAATGCTAAGGATAATGAGGAGGCAAAGAGGGACCACTCTAAGTAGTCCATGTAGATTCTGAAACTACTGTTATGTAAGAAGTTAGGTAGGCCATTGGGTTGGTTGCCTCCAGGCACTGCGAAGCATGTCGCATACAAAATGGTGGCAATGAGGGTGGACACAATCATGCATGATTTTGCCCCTTCTTTCAGCCATTGCTCACCTTCTTTCAAGAGCCCATTATGAGTAACTGTGAACAACTCTCGAGCTGTTTGCCCTTCCAAGTTCTTATGTGGGATTATGCAAGGGGGGCAAACGTGCTTCACAATCTGCACAAAAATTAAGTTATTTTTGTTCTATTTGCCAAAAGATTTTGGGCTGCGGCAGAAACATACTGCTCATTTACTCCCTTGGGTAAAACCCCATCTCGGAGTGATCTATTCAACATAGGGCTATTCTCTGAAAAAAAAAGAAAAATTCTTTCCAAATTGCCCATTATATGTGCCTAAATAAACATCTCATGATTGAATAGAAACCATCCAATTTTTGTGGGGTGAAATCTGAGGGTTGAATAATTAAAAAATAAAACAAAAAAAAGATTACATAATCAACAGGTGACTCTTAAGTGGATGCTAAAGTTTTAGATCAAAATAACCTTCCAATCCAATTAGTTGTTTTGCCCAAAGGAAAAAGTGCACGTACGGGAGCATAGTGTATATGCTCCATTGTATTTTAGGGTTTACTGGGCAACTCATTAAAATTTTCTTCTTACTATTATTTTCTGTAAATTCTTTTTTTTTTTTTTTTCACTAAACTTTATTTTTTTAGAAGGAAGGCGGGTTCCATCTTAAAACGTTTTTACGACATTGATCAAGAATATAGTTCAACAACATATTGAATGAATAAAGTAGCGAAGTATGTTTCAAAAATAAATTTGGATCCAATAAAAAGCAATTTTCTAGTTCATGTTATTGTTTACATGTTGAAATGAGGTGTCATCAATATTCTATTATTCCCATGGAGAAAGTTAATCCTTTAAAATGAACAGGACAAATTATGAGGGAAGACCATTTTACCATCAAATTCAAAATATGCGACTGCTTTGTGATAATTTACAATTAAAAATATAGGTGTTTCTCCCATCCTAAGGAAAAGCAATCGCCATGGCAATTTTTAAACACATTTGGAGTTCCATAATTAAGCATCAATTGAGTATAATTTGGAACCTGAAGCCATTATGTTTTGCCTACTATGCACATAAATATTTGAATAAATCATTAGGATGTATTAGATGCAAAATATCTTGGCCAAATATTGATCTAATCTTAAATCTTTTAATAAGAACCATTTTTTGGGAAAATATAATTTTAGAAGTTAAAGAACCTCACAAAATTATTAAACGCATAAAATCATCCCAATTAACATTTGTGGGTCTACTTTTTAATTTCATTTCAAACAGATATTTTCTTAAAAAAGTATCTCAAGAAATGCCAAAATTTTCGTTTTTAGGGTTTTCAACCTTAAAAAAGTAGGTGTATTTTATAAATTTGACCCACCTTGAACAAATAGGGGTACTCTCATCGTTTGGTCCGGACCTCTTAGGTATAATAAGTAAAATACTCTTGCTTGTATAAGGTGCCAGAAGAATTTGGGTAATTTTGATAATATCATTTGAGGAGGTACCAAATGAAATTTTAAAAATAAACATCTCCAATATTAATTGGGATGCGTTGACCTTCTTAATGGATTTTGTAAGGGATGAAGACGCCTTAAATAAACGTATTTAAAGATTTTCTCTTTTATCGGAAGAGAGAAGCCGTCTAGGAACCATGTTCAAATGAATTGGTTAATTTTCACGCTTTAACATTTTTCGATTTATGACCTATCCAGGTAAGAAAATCGACATGGCCCAGGTACTCAGGCCCTTGGCCAAGCCGAGTATTGCAGCCATGTGCTAAGCACTCGGGCGAGTCATGCACAAGGCAAAGAAGCTTTTAATAAATTAAAAACCAAAAAAAAAGAGAAAAATTTTAAAATAAGAAAATATAATAAAAGCAAAATAAAACAAGAAACAACCTTTAAAAAGGTCAAATAAGCTTAAAAAAGTATTTGTAAAAATGGCTCTAAAAAGAACAGATTTATAATTTGGAGCATTCAACACAACAATCTTAGAAAGAGTAAATATAAAAATAGAGTTTTATAGAAAAAAAAACACTCACTATTGTGTTTTTCTTGTTTGTGCTTTTTGGCATCTATCTGGCACGGAGTGTATTGAGATCTAGAATCTTTGCTAAAGACATAGAAATCGCATATAAAAAATGAGAGATCAGTCCCACATTCTTTAGGATTTTCTAGAATTTTTTTAAATTTTTTAGCATCCTCCAATTGTACACAGAGCTCGGGAAAACGCAACCTCGCCTTATCAGATGCATCCAGTCGAGAGAGAGAAAGAGAGGTATAAATGTTTAGGTGATTCGGTAATAAGCTTTACCTTGTACCAAAGTATTTCCCATTGCATATGTTGAGAGCTCCCACGTATATGTGGAGGTCGATAGGATTGAAGCTTAGCTGCAAGATGAAGAACAGAGTTCCCTTCCTTGTCAATTCCCAAGACCATGTTTGTTGTGACTCTTCCCATTGATCTCAAAATTTTGAATACTTTCTCTGCTCTGTACTCTGCAGCCAACAGCAATATATTCTTTCCATCTTTATCTAAGAACCCTACGGCCTCCGGGAAAACTTTCAGAATTTCTTTCACAGCCTCAACTATATCTTGTTTCACAGCCAAAATCAGGGGACTTTCAATCCCATTCTCTGTCGATTCGACACCGAGATGAACATAACTTGATTTATGTTTCTTTTGTGGATTTTTTCCATCATGTTCATAGCTGTACTTCGAGTCTCTTTCCACCATGACCCTTACAAGTTCTTTTGTCCATTCATGCTTTTGCTTTGTCCTGTAAACTCGTCCGATCCATGGGCATCCTGCTAGTTACCAGTTTCAGGTATATAATTTATTATTTTGTGGAAAAAACTTATATAAGGTGGTAACTTTATTTGTACAAGTATCGCCGCAGTTATGTATACTATTCATTTAAATGGGATGGTACAGATTTGGCCTTGTCTTAAATGATGTGTTAGATTTTAACGTCTTAAAAGATGTGGAGGACCGACACATTTCAACTAGAATGAAAAATGTAGTATACCGCAACCTAAAATCCAAATCTTACATACATCAACTTTAATGGGAGAGTAGTAGAGTTAAGGGACATTAGATGTTTTGTTGGAAAATACTCTGAAAATGTTTGTAAAAGTAGTGACTGCGCATTCATCTTTTTATTATTTAAACTTAGGTGGTTTGGCCATGTGCAAAGTCATCGGGAACACCACCATATTGGGAGGGGCGATTTGATTCAAACTAAAAGCTTTAAAAAGGAAATGGGAAGGGCCAAAATGACATGGATGGCAATAGTGAGAGAAGAGATATGGTAACATATGGTCAGACTGAAGTTATGGCCCTTGAAAAAGTAGAATGGCACAACAAGATTTGTGTATCGACCCTGAATAGTCGGGATAAAGCTCAGTTAACTATGATAACGATGATTGTGAAATTGTGTATATTCTCTGGGTATTTACTTTCCTTTATTTGTTAGATAGGATGATCTTTCCATGATCATGCACATTGTATCAGGATATTATCTTTTATTTATTGTAAGTCACACATGCTATACAATGTAACTACCTATATATATATATATATATATGCTAATATTAGCCCATTAGTTCATATGAACATATAATCCCAACGGTCCAGATTGAATCTGGGCTGATCTGACAGTTATGACACTTCATTTGATATTTTAATTTTAATGTTTTTTCTACAAATCCAAATAATTTGAAATTTTAGACGTATATTCTTCTCATCAAGGAGCACCTAATAAAAATATTCTAAAACTAATTCACAAAAAATAAATTGATCAAAATATCTCCAAAATGTTTCAGGGATATTTTCATTAATTTATTTCTTGCAAATTATTTTTTTGATATTTTATTAGATTCTCCTATATTTGAATACTGCGCGCCTAAAATTTTAAATTATTTGTATTCATAAAAAAAATTAAAATTCAACT